GGGCGAGCTGGCTGTGGCCGCAGTTTGTGTGCGGAGGGAGGCAGGCAGGCAAGCAGGCCGGCAGGCAGGCCGTCCGTGGTTTGCCGGGGCCAGCAGCGAGGGGATGATGGCCCATCGGCGGCCGAGGGGACTGTACGGACGGACGACGGACGGCAGGCAGGCCGTGTGCGGACGGTCGCTTGCCGCCGTTGCCGTTGGCCTTGCGAGCGGGCAAGGCCCCTTTTTCGACCACCCGCGCACGCTGGCCCTCGCCTCTTGGCCTCTTGGTCCGGCCGTGCAGCACGTTCCCTGCCTCCGAGCAGCTTCGCCCTGCTGTGTTGCGGGCCGCAGCCGGGCTGCGCGCTCCCGGGCCTCCCGGGCGTCCGGGAGCGCGGGCAAGGCCTGGGTCCCTTGGGCCGTGGCCGTGGCCGTGGCCGTGGGCGGGAGAAGCGGCGAGCGAGGGCGTCCCCGGAGCCCCGGGTCTGTCGGGCGGGCCCCGCTGCCGCTGGTGCCGGCTCCCTCCCCTTCCCGGCAAGGCTGGTTCCGGGGCAGCCTTGTGGTGGCGGCGGCGGCGGCGGGGCCGGGGCTGTGGCTGGTGTGTGCGGGCGCGGCGGAAAGGGGCGTTGGCGGTCGGAGGAGGACGCCTTGGTGGCGGAGCGAGGCCTGGGTCCCTTGGGCCGTGTCCGTGGGCGGGAGAAGCGGCGAGCGAGGGGCGTTCCCGGAGCCTCGGGTCTGTCGGGCGGGCCCCGCTGCTGTGGCTGGTGTGTGCGGGCGCGGCGGAAAGGGGCGTTGGCGGTCGGAGGAGGACGCCTTGGTGGCGGAGCGAGGCCTGGGTCCCTTGGGCCGTGTCCGTGGGCGGGAGAAGCGGCGAGCGAGGGGCGTTCCCGGAGCCTCGGGTCTGTCGGGCGGGCCCCGCTGCTGTGGCTGGTGTGTGCGGGCGCGGCGGAAAGGGGCGTTGGCGGTCGGAGGGAGGACGCCTTGGTGGCGGAGCGAGGCCTGGGTCCCTTGGGCCGTGGGCGGGAGAAGCGGCGAGCGAGGGGCGTTCCCGGAGCCTCGGGTCTGTCGGGCGGGCCCCGCTGCTGTGGCTGGTGTGTGCGGGCGCGGCGGAAAGGGGCGTTGGCGGTCGGGGGAGGACGCCTTGGTGGCGGAGCGAGGCCTGGGTCCCTTGGGCCGTGTCCGTGGGCGGGAGAAGCGGCGAGCGAGGGGCGTTCCCGGAGCCTCGGGTCTGTCGGGCGGGCCCCGCTGCTGTGGCTGGTGTGTGCGGGCGCGGCGGAAAGGGGCGTTGGCGGTCGGGAGGAGGACGCCTTGGTGGCGGAGCGAGGCCTGGGTCCCTTGGGCCGTGTCCGTGGGCGGGAGAAGCGGCGAGCGAGGGGCGTTCCCGGAGCCTCGGGTCTGTCGGGCGGGCCCCGCTGCTGTGGCTGGTGTGTGCGGGCGCGGCGGAAAGGGGCGTTGGCGGTCGGGGGAGGACGCCTTGGTGGCGGAGCGAGGCCTGGGTCCCTTGGGCCGTGTCCGTGGGCGGGAGAAGCGGCGAGCGAGGGGCGTTCCCGGAGCCTCGGGTCTGTCGGGCGGGCCCCGCTGCTGTGGCTGGTGTGTGCGGGCGCGGCGGAAAGGGGCGTTGGCGGTCGGGGGAGGACGCCTTGGTGGCGGAGCGAGGCCTGGGTCCCTTGGGCCGTGTCCGTGGGCGGGAGAAGCGGCGAGCGAGGGGCGTTCCCGGAGCCTCGGGTCTGTCGGGCGGGCCCCGCTGCTGTGGCTGGTGTGTGCGGGCGCGGCGGAAAGGGGCGTTGGCGGTCGGAGGAGGACGCCTTGGTGGCGGAGCGAGGCCTGGGTCCCTTGGGCCGTGTCCGTGGGCGGGAGAAGCGGCGAGCGAGGGGCGTTCCCGGAGCCTCGGGTCTGTCGGGGGCTGCGAGGGGGCGTGCGCCTTGACGGGCGGGCGAGAGGGCGGCCTGTTTGGGGTGGTGGGGGCGGAACGGCCGCGGCGACAAGTGTATGGGGACGAAGGGGGGTCGCTGGCGTTGGCTGGCTGGCTGGCGGGCGGGCGGCGCCGGGGCCGGCGAGCGAGGCCTCGGTGGGCGGGCTCCCTCGCGGCCGCGGACGGGTATCCCGAGCGTGGTCGGCTCCCCGCCGTCCCCGGGCGGGGTTGGTTGTCGTCCAGGCAGGCAGGCCCTGGTCGGGCCCTCCTTCCTCCCTCCGCCGCCTCCTGAGAGGGCTCTGAGGCCGAGGCAGCGAGGCTCGGGGAGGTCCCCAGAGCGAAGCCGCGGTGCGGCGAGGGCGTGGGTCCCCCTGGAGGGGGTGTCCTCCCTGACGAGCGGGCGGGGGCGGCCCCTGTTCGCGGTGGTGTTGGGCGAACGGGCGTTTTGGCAGCTGTAAGGAGGCACGCGTCCCTGCGCGTCTCCGGTCCCTCATCCCCTTCCCCAATGGCCTCCCTCCCCCGCCGCCCTGTTGCCGAGGCCCTTTGTGGTGGTGTTGTTGGTGCTGGGCGCGTGGAAGAGGTTGTTGGTAGGTTGGCGAGCGGCAGGCGGGGCAGCCTCCTGGCTGCCATGGCCCAGCCGCAGCGCACAGCAAAGGTCGCGGGCTCGCGCCACGCATCCGGCCGGGGGCCGCCGGGGTAACCATTCCCCGTGCCGCCCCCTCTCGAGGTCGGTTGTGGCCCTGCCCTTCACACAGGCGACCGCTGCATTCTAGACGTTCGGAATGGTTTCCGAGTGCCGCCCCCGCGCGGCCTCCCCCTCGCGACGGTCGAGCTCCCTGCGGTTCTTCTCCCTTCGGCCACGTTGTTGCGTCGATAGCGTCGAGCTAGATCCCGGGTTGTGTTGACACCCTTGCGGCGAGAGCTGAAGAAACCCCCGGCAATCACACACCCCTTCCCTTACGCGCGCGCGCGCGTGCGTGCGTGCGTGTGCGCGAGGGAGGCTCGGGGGCCCCAGCGCCCCCGCCCCTTCGCAGGCCCTGCGAAGGGCCTGCGACCCCCTTACGACGATGGCAAGAAGCGAAAAAAGAGAGAAAGACGAGACGAGAAAGGGATCGCGCCCGGGTGGGAGCCTGCCGCGGCCGTTGCTCTGGCCCGGCAATGCTTGTTCTCTCCCACCCCTGCGTGCGGCGCACCCTGAGATGCCATCCGCCGGTCCGCGCCCCTCTTTCCCTGCTGCAACCTCTCCTTCCCCTCCCCTGCCTGCCTGCCTCCCTCCCGCCCTCTCGCTCCCCCTGGCCCCTTTGGGGCGGGGGCCGCGAGCAGCGGCGGCGGGCGCGCGGGCGGCGCGGGCGTGGGAGCGCGCGGTAAAGGGAGAGGGCTGCGCGGGCTGGCCCTGCGAAAAGCCGAGGAACAGGGTCGAAGCGAGCGAGCCAGCGAGAGAGTCGAAGGCGACGACGACGAAGGAGGAGCGAGCGCCGTGGTGTGGGTGGGTGCGGCGTCGGCGGAGCAGCGATGCAAATGCGCTGCAAATGCCGCCGCCCCCCCCCCCCCCCCCCCGCGCTCCTCCTGCCCCTTCCTCCTGAAGCCTTCCCCTCCTCCTCCTCCCGCTCGTCCCAGCACGAACAAGAAAGAAAGGGAGACGGACGACGACGACGACCAGGACAGGTCGCTTTTCGTTGGTCTTCTCTTGCTTTTCTTTTTTCCCCCTATTTCTACCTGGTTGATCCTGCCAGTAGTCATATGCTTGTCTCAAAGATTAAGCCATGCATGTGTAAGTACAGGCCGACTTAAGGCGAAACCGCGGACGGCTCATTAAATCAGATATAACTCATTGGATCTCTGCTGAACCGCACTACTTGGATAACTGTGGTAATTCTAGAGCTAATACATGCCTTTGTAGTCTCCGACCGCGAGGGAGGAGCGCTTTTATTAGACCAAAACCCTCGGCGGCCGGCCCTTCAACCGGTCGGCCGCGATCTCCTTGGTGAATCAGAATAACTTTCGCCGAGCGCACGACCCCTCCCGTAACCCGGGTTGGGTCGGCGCCGCGTCCTGCAGGCGTCTGCCTTATCAGCTCTCGATTGTAGGTTAAACGCCTACAATGGCTATCACGGGTAACGGGGAATCAGGGTTCGATTCCGGAGAGGGAGCCTGAGAAACGGCTACCACATCTAAGGAAGGCAGCAGGCGCGCAAATTACCCACTCCCGGCACGGGGAGGTAGTGACGAAAAATACTGTTGCGAGCCCCGAACGGGGCCTCGCAATTGGAATGAGTACACTTTAAATCCTTGTACGAGGATCGAGTGGAGGGCAAGTCTGGTGCCAGCCGCCGCGGTAATTCCAGCTCCACTAGCGTATATTAAAGTTGTTGCGGTTGAAACGCTCGTAGTTTGACTTCTGCTCCGGACCGGCGGTCCGCCTTAGCGGCGGCTACTGCCGGGTTCCGAGCTGTGTCCCCGCCGGCGCGCACGGGGTTTTTTATGCCCTTAACCGGGTGTCCCCCTGTGGCCGGCACGTTTACTTTGAAAAAATTAGAGTGCTCAGAGCAGGCTGGTCTTTGCTTACAGCCCGAATGGTCGTGCATGGAATGATGGAACAGGACCTCGGTTCTATTTTGTCGGTTTTTCGGAACCCGAGGTAATGATTAATAGAAGCAGACGGGGGCATTCGTACTGCGACGCTAGAGGTGAAATTCTTAGACCGTCGCATGACGACCTACTGCGAAAGCATCTGCCAAGGATGTTTTCATTGATCAAGAACGAAAGTTAGAGGTTCGAAGGCGATCAGATACCGCCCTAGTTCTAACCTTAAACGATGCTGACTAGCGATCCGCCGCAGTTATTCCCATGACCCGGCGGGTAGCTTCCGGGAAACCAAAGTCTTTGAGTTCCGGGGGAAGTATGGTTGCAAAGCTGAAACTTAAAGGAATTGACGGAAGGGCACCACCAGGAGTGGAGCCTGCGGCTCAATTTGACTCAACACGGGGAAACTCACCAGGCCAGGACACCGGAAGGATTGACAGAATGAAGGCTCTTTCTCGATTCGGTGGGTGGTGGTGCATGGCCGTTCTTAGTTGGTGGAGTGATCTGTCTGGTTAATTCCGATAACGAACGAGACTCTAGCCTGCTAAATAGTCGACGGGTCTCTCGCCCAGCCTTCGCCCTCGGGCGTCGGCTTCGGTTCCCCTAAACCCGGCCGTCGCGCGGGCCTCCACCGTCGGTTGGTTAGCGCCGCCGGCGGCGCGCCCCGCGGCGCCGGAAACTGGCGTCCGCTTCGCAGTCTTCTTCTTAGAGGGATAAGCGGCAGCAAAAAATATACTAGCCGCACGAGAGTTTGAGCCATAACAGGTCTGTGATGCCCTTAGATGTTCTGGGCCGCACGCGCGCTACAATGGAGAGTTCAGCGAGCTGTCCCTGCTCCGAGAGGAGCGGGTAACCTCGTGAAAGCTGTCCTTAAAGGGGATTGGGGCTTGCAAATGTTCCCCATGAACGAGGAATTCCCAGTAGGCGCAATTCACCAGATTGCGCCGATTTAGTCCCTGCCCTTTGTACACACCGCCCGTCGCTACTACCGATTGAATGGTCTAGTGAGGGCACCGGACTGGCGCCCTTGGAGCCGCTACCGCCGCCTCGGCGGCGGCCAGCGCCCTCGGGTCGACGGAAAGGTGTCCAAGCTGGGTCATTTAGAGGAAGTAAAAGTCGTAACAAGGTTTCCGTAGGTGAACCTGCGGAAGGATCATTAACGAGTGCTACTACCAGCGAGCGAGCGAGCAGCAGCAGCACCAGCAGTAGTAGTAGTGGTGGCGGGCCGCCGGCCCCCCTCCCGCTGCCGCCTGGCGCCGCCTGCCTGCCTGCCTGCCTGCCGAAAGAGGCAACTCTCTCTCTTACAACCCGAGCGGCGGGTTGGGCGCGAGCTAAACGGACGGACGGACGGGCGAGCGAGGCAGCGAGCCAGCGGGCGAAAAAAGGAAGAGGGCGGGATTTGGGGTTGGCATCTGCCCCCCCCCCCCCCCCCCGATCTCCCCGCTGCACCTCCTCCTCTTCGTCCTCGTCCTCCTCATGCTCGTGCCCCCCTCCGCGGGGGGCTCTCGGCACGGCTCCCCGGCCTTTTTCTTTTCCCCGTCCGGAAGGGCGGGGAGGAGGGGAAGGCCGAACCCAGAAGTCTTTGTCAGCCCCGCCTGGGTCACCGGGGCCTACGAGGTCAGCGACGGCGCCGGAAAAAGCGGCACACCCCCCTGTGCCGCGGCCCGGCGCCGTGGGCTACGCGTCTTCTCAGAGCGCAGGTTACCCTCCCCTTCGAGGCCCTTTGAGTGGGAGGCCATCGAGTAGTAGTGTGAACTCGAAATGAGATAAACCCAGCAAAGACTCTTAACGGGGGATCACTTGGCTCGTGGGTCGAGGAAGACCGCGGCAAGAAGCGATGTTTTGGTGGCTATCGCAATTCTCCCGTGATTCCATCGACGTGTCGAACGCACATTGCGGCGGCCCTGTGCCTTCTTCGAAGGACGGCTGCCACCTTCCCTCGAGTGTCGTGACGTTGCCTCCCGGGAGACAGTACGGACGGCTGCGGGCTGCTCGCTGCCGCGAGCTCTCCGCCCGTCCTCCGGGAAGGCCGCTACGAGAATCTTTTGAGAGTGAGGCGAAACAGCGCCGTGTAGGTGCCGCTCTCCTCCTCCTCCCCCTCCGCGTGGGGGGTGGGGGGAGAGCGGTTCCGCAAGAGCACAACGGGGTCCGGGGCCCGTCGACCGGCTTTGCCGGCCGAGGGCTCCGTTCTCGACCGTGCCGGAGGTGCGGGAGCGGCGGCGACCGCGGGCGGGCGGCGCGGGCGGCGGCGCGGCATGTGCCGCCTCGCCTGCCTGCCTGCCTCGCCTGCCTTGCCTGCTGGCTCTCGCGCCGGCGATTCCGCCCTGGGGAGTTCGCCGGACCAGAGAGGGCGCGGGTTCCCTGAGCCTTTGGGCAGGAACTCGCTCCCGCGTCCGGACGTTCCCTCAAGACGTGGAGGGTTCGCTCTCTTCCGTCGCCGTCGGCCCGCAGGGACGGAGGGACGGGCGCCCAGTCGTCCGTGATCCTCCTCCCGACGGCCGGCCTGCCACTGGCCCAAAGGCGAATAATGTTCCGAAGGAGCCGGAGAGGCGCTCTCCCAAAAGCCGAAATTAAACCAGCCGGCCTGTTGCCCGGTCCCCCTCCCGGGGCCAGGCGATCCGGCCGTGCTGGAGGGGCAAGGGCGCACCCTAGTGACGCGAGATCGCGTAGGTGGGGGCCTCTCCGCGCCACGAAACCTGCTTGCAAACGCCGACTCACTCGCCACCGTCCCCTCCACCAGTTCTTCTTCTTCTTCTTCCGCGAAGGGAAAAAAGGGCCTCGGTGGGCCGTCCCTCCTCCTATTATTAATCTGTGCCGAAAGGAGGCGAGGGAGAAAGAGAGGGCCTGGGGGGCTCGGGGCAGGAGAGGAAGCGGGCGCAGCATCCTGAGCAACAGCAAACAACAACCACTACGCCAAGCCGAAAGGTAGCGGTAGTTGCACAGAAGGTTTCGCGGCAGAGCAGGGCGGCGCGGAAAAAAAAAAAAGCCGGGATTTGAGAGAAAGAAATCCGAAGAGAAGGAAGAGCGAAACGATACCAAGCAAGCAAGCAAGCAAGCAAGCATGACGACAGCAGCAGCAAGCAAGCAAGCAAGTGTTGGCCGCTGTATCGTCGACCTCGAGTGGAGGGAGATGACCCGCCTAATTTAAGCATATTAATCAGCGGAGGAAAAGAAACCAACCGGGATTCCCTGAGTAAGTGCGACCGAAACGGGAAGAGCCCAGCGCAAAGCCTCGCGTCCCCTTCGCGGGGGGCACGAGGGGTGCTGCGTTCGGGAGAGGTCCTGCACGCGCTCCCGAGCCGCCTAAGTTGTTCATGAATGACTCTCATACCCAGGGAGGGTGTCAGGCCCGTGTGGCGGAAAGGGACTTCCTCCTCCTCGTTCGCGGGGAGGGGGGTTTCGGGAGTGCGGAACGGGCCTCTCCTTAGAGTCGGGTTGCCTGAAACCGCAACCTAAAGCAGGTGGTAAACTCCATCTAAGGCTAAATATGACCACGAGACCGATAGCGAACAAGTACCGTGAGGGAAAGTTGAAACAGAACCCTGTAGAGAGAGTTCAAGAGAACGTGAAACCGTTAAGAGGCTAAACGGGCGGAGATTCGAAGATCGAACTGGGGGGATTCA